CATAATCCTGTTTAATATTTTGTAGGGTAGCCTTTGGACTTTAATATAGCCTTCAGTCTCCTAGGCATTGAATCAACCAGATGAGATGTTGTTTCTGCAGTTATTTTATTCCATTCCTCTTTTAGAGTGTTTTTTAGAGTGTTTTTTAGAGTTTCTTTGTTTGAAATATTATGCTTTCGAATTTTTTTTTCCAAATGGTCCCACAAATTTTCAATAGGATTAATGTCCGGAGATTGGGGTGGTGTAACAAGATATTCTGTTACATTTTTAGACAACCAAGCCTTGACTATTTTTGCAGTGTGCTTGGGATCATTATCTTATGTAAATACAAAATCRTCCTTGATGCCCATTTTTTCAGCACTTGATGTAAGATGTGACTTCAAAATATTTAARTATATGTCATGGTTCTTATATGCYGTCAATAAAGTGCAAGTTTCCAACATACAGCACTCATACAGCCCCAAACCATTAAGGAACCTCCTCCGTATTTAACTGTAGGTTGTAAATTCTTTGGTTCYATTTCTGCATTTGATTTTTTCCACACAAAACGTCTTCCATCTGAGCCGAAAATATTAAATTTACTTTCGTCTGTAAATATTACTCTGTTCCAAAAATTAATAGAGCGATGAAAGTTGCCATTTGCAAAAGCAAGCCTTTTTTTTATTTACAAAATATTTTCGACGAGCTATTTAACCATGGTAACCACTGTTTTTCAAACAATTTCTAATTGTACATTCACTAACATATACTCCAGAAAAATTTGCAAGATTTTGTGCTATTTTAAGAGCSCTAATTTTTGGATCCATCTTAACTGTTCGTATGACTATACGTTTATCATGGTCCAAAGTTTTTGTGGCCGACTAAGCCGTCGCTTATTTTTGTGAATTTTACTGTCGTCATGGTTTTTTTTTGTAATACATTGTGTAATACATATATAAATTACTATGTGAATGTTGGTTTATTGATAAAAATAAAATATTATAAAGAAATGTGTATATTTATTCAAAAACACGGAGTGTACGAATACTTTTTACACTCACT